CTGGTGACACCTCTGCCACCAAGGCTACATCTTCCAGCCCTTCCCGAACAGCTCCACCAGCTGGGTCTGAGCAGGCAAACATGGGCCTATAGGTGCCATTCTCATTCCCACAATGGTGGAACACACACACACACAGTGTGTTGCTGGATCCTTCTGCCCCACTCTCACTGGCCTTGCTGTGCTCCCTATGCTGGCTTCAGAACTCCTGGTGCTCCTGCCTTTGCCTCCCAAGCGCTGAGAAGAGTTAAAATTTTTGTGTAACTATTGTGTGGCTCATAACTGGAGTACTGGATTTACATAATTTTCACTCCCCCCACTCTTCCAACTCCTTTCATGTCCTCCACCCTCTCAATTTCATGACCTCTTTTTAAACTATTAATGTTCACTCTCTCTCTCACACACACATAACCTACTGAGTCCATTTAGTGTTTTACACACACACACATACACACACACACACACACACACACACACACACACACACACACATTTTGGGCTGACTACCTGGCATTGGATAACCTATCCCTTTCTCAGAGGCCTTTAATTGCCTATATTTCTTAATCTAGGTGTGGTAGTCCTTGAGATTTCCTCCATCCATATCAACATGCCAACTGCTTGTTACTGTGAGGTCTTGTTTCAGTGACCATAGTTTTGAGATTTCATGGGTGCAGCTTCCCTGATGTGTCAGAAGGCACTATTTTACAGCATATGTTCAGGTCCTCTGGCTCTTAAAATATTTCTGTTCCCTCTTCTGCAATGTTCCCTGAGCCTTATATTCTATTTTACATTATAGTGACCTTTCAGTTGCAAAAGTTACATTGTTATTCCCCACTGAATTTTATGCTAGTGTTTTTATATTGTGCATCCATTAGCAAACCACTGCAGCTACACTAAGAAAAATACTTTTGTCTGTTTCCACTCTAGGTGAAACATTGAGTTTTGGGTTCAGCTGTGCACTCCCTTCCCTCTAGAGTGGCACAGTTTCATGCTTTCACACTGCTAGTCGGTATCAAGTCAACATGAAGAGTTCCCATTGGCATGTTTGGTTAGGTAGGCGTAGACACGGCATCTGGGAATTTCTTCTCAGTCTGTGAATACATTTTGCGTTCATTTCTGGACGGCAACTTTTCTAAGCATAGTGTTCTTGGTTGAAAGGTTTTTTCTTTCTTTCTTTTCTTTTCTTTTCCTTTCAGAACTTTGGTTTCATCATCTCATTCCCTTCTGGCTTGTAAGGTTTCTGCTAAAAATTCTGATACACACACACACACACACACACACACACACACACACACACACACACA